CACACACACACACACGCAAACATATATATATATATTTATATAGTATAATTTGATAAATATAAATGTATAAATGTTATTCATCTTCGAAATTATAATCTGAATATTCAATTCATTGATCTAATTTAAATTTCTTGATGCATCTTGTGCAAATCTATAAATAATATTTAACAATATTGATTAATTAGCAATAATGCGGTGTCCAATAATGCGGGGTTCAATCGTGCAATGTGTCCAATCGTGCGGTGTTCTATAAGTCCCGGTCTACAATAGATAATTTAAGCCTTAAGCCAAAAAATGGACAAATCATAGTAGAAGAATATAAGAATAATCGACTATGATTAGTCAATTTCTTATGGCTTAAGGCTTAAATCATATATTGTAGACCAGATTAATGCGGTGTCCAATAATATGATATCCAATCGTTCAGTATCCAATCGAGTCGTGTCCAATAGTTTCGTGTCCAAAAGGATACGCCCACTAATAACTATACTATGCAACGTGTAAGAAACAAAGATGCTGTGTAAAAAATGATAGAACTTCTCGAAACTCACTAATATATTCACATATACATTTTAAAATATACATGTTTTATAATTGTGTTTTGCATATTTGTATGTACATACATATATTGGCTAAGGAAATAAACTTATATGTGAATTAAATGCAAATTAAAACTTTTGAATAATCCTTTTCTTTTATTGTATTTGTTAATTTGCATAAATTATTGCACTTGTTTCTCTTTAATTACATATATAGTTTTATTTTATTTTATGCTTATTACTTTAAACTGCCCGCGCTGCACACTCAACATTATGGCCGACCATTTCACTTCAGGGAGTCAATCATGTAACTTTACATGAAATTTTTCACTTTTCATTTTTCACTTTTTACTTTTCATTTTTCACACCTTGACATTTCACGTGAAACTTTTCACGTATAGCGATTATATAACTTGGATGCGTGGAAAGTGAAATCATGAAACATAGGTTTTATAGCTAATGAAAATTATTTTATTGGTACAATATTATATACATCTTTTAATAATCAATTGTATATGTACTACACGTACACTTAATCCTAACGCAGCCCTAATCTTGTCTAATTCCGAAGCATATTTATTAATTCCCTAGATTTCCGCCTTTCCGCCACCAAGGTACATGGCGAAAAAGTTTACGTGAAAAATTTCACATTTTCACGTTTGAGAGAGTTACATGATCCCGCAAAATCATACATGATCGTAAGTTCACGTGAAATTTTTCACTTTTCACGTTTCCGCCCTAGGGGAAAAGTTACATGATCGACCCTCAGATCAAAGATGCCGCATAGAGTGAACCTACTGTGTATCTACTTATACTGTGACCTGTGATCGCGCTGGTCTGAATCCAGTATTACATTAATGACAGACACAATCTCTTAATTTCATGGTTCGTGGTAATCAGACTCCGCCATTTGCGATCATTCACTGCATTCATTTTCGTTTCATTTCGCTCGTCGTGATATTTGTCGTTGGATTTTTTCCACACAACGCTTGATATTATTGCTTTGGTAAGGAAACACTAATTTCCTGTAACGTATGATCTAGCATTTTGATAAATTAAAGTTTATTTATCGGTCACATTACCAAGAATTGTATACGCGGAAATACACGATTCGTGATAACGAATTCTAAAGATATTCCGGACAAGCATTTATTATCTCGTACACATCATTTCGGCGAAAACTTTGTACGAGATAATATGATACTATACTTATTTGTTATGTTTTCCGTTTCGTTACACGTTACTTCTACACGTGTACAGTACTGATTTTTGCTGAGTAAGATTCCATTTAATCATCCTTTTTGTACGCACGTACATATGCCGAGTGCGTATATATATTTCGTCATTGTTCTCGTATGAACTTCGTTTTATCTTTGTATAATTTTTAATAAAATTTCGTATTATGTAAACAAAATATGCTTGCAGAATATATTTGAATTTGAAATATTTTTAAAATCTTATAGATTTTACATAATATTATTATTTAAAATGAAAAAAAAAAATAAATAAATTCTTTAAAACTTGTTATATCCTGGTCAGGATATCCTGTATAAATGAACTTCCATAGATGGTATTCAAAATTAATTATTTCCAAATGTTGACTAGCAGCACGATGTCGTTTAATCGAGGAGTGAAAAGAGATTCCTTTGGGAATCGAGGAAATTTCAATCGAGGTGGTAGCGGTAGTGGTGGTAATAGAGTCGGCAATAACAGTGGTATGGGAAACAACATGGGTGGAGGAATAGGTGGAAGTGGTGGTATGGGTGGGATGAATCCCTGGGAAGGTGGCATGATGCCTGGCAGAGGTATTCTGCCTACACCCAACAACAATCTTTCCTTGGCATCGCCACAGGCACAGCTGGCAATTGCTAGCAATCTTCTTACAAACTTACTTCGCAGTCAGCAAGAAGCACAGCCACAGGTAAATAACTTTTGTCTAGTACTTCAGCTTTTATATGAATTCATACTTATTCATCATTTGGAAGCAGGTACCATCTCTTATGAGTCTGGGAAATAATTATTCTGGACCAGGACCGAATTATCCAAACCAACAGAATTATTCTTCTGGACGGTTTAATGATCGACCTGCACGGCATCCTATGAAAAACCAACGTCCTCAGCCATACAACAAGGTAAGCAATTTTGGTAAGATACACACATTTTTTTTTTTATAAATCAAGGTAACGTTTAAGGAATTTTTTTAACGCTTGCTTACGATCTTCTTCTGTATCGTAAACAGGAGTTATAAAATGACAATCTGTAGTCCACGCTTCTTCGCATGGACACAAACTGTCTTTAACTATCTGAATGTTACAAATTCCTCTTCTTGAACCAATCGATTAAATAGGATATATCGCTCACTCGATTAGATACGATCGGCGAAATCACTAAAATATAAATTCTTGTCGATGGATCAACTTTGTCTGACACGGCTTCTAAATATCATCTATAAAAATATTTCATTAAAGAGCACTGTTGAAAAACGTGTGTTAATTTCAGAATGTAAATCTCAATTTACTACTGGAAGTTCACTGGTTTTTGCAGGATTGAATTTGAACATTGCCTCACATGACAATCTGTGTAACCACAGTCTTCTGTCTACTAATATGATATTAAAATCAATGTGGTTGCACTTTATTCAAAACTATTACCACTTATATACACGAGTATTTCACTTGATTTAATTTCTTCTTCACATTCATTAGTATTCACCAAGTTTTACTCAAATATTTTTAGTGGCAAAAGAAAAATTATACCTTTTTATAATTATCATATCTTATGATCGTTGCGATCGTGCCTGTATACATGTGATGCGTTTTCAACTTGAAATCGGGATGCACTCTACAGTTTTCTCCCTTTCCTTCCATACTTGGTGTGGAAATGGAAGATAGAGCTTTGGTACTTCACCGGCTCCGTCCTGCTTCCATTTATCGACTGTAGAACTGTTCTCTCCCTCAAATCCCAAGTGGTTTCTAGAACCAGTGTCTCGATTTGAGAAGAATCAAAGTTACATCAGATACTTCTCATGATACTTTTGGTCGTTTGACCTCTACTACTTGACTAGATGGGCAATCGAGCCCGAGATGGCCCTGCTGGGCGACGTGGCCCATCCGCACAACAATCTCGTGCACCCCAGTCTGGCAGTCAACGTATGAATGGAAACCAAATCCAACATCGCAACGATAAATCTTCTAAACCAATTCCTGCCTCTAAACAAAATCAGACTGCCAAAAAGGAACAGCAGGATGTTAAGACCTGTGATAGTGAAAAAGCAGAACCGCCTGTTCCGAAAAGGTAAGCTCTCGATTACCTGTGATTGGTATAGTTTCTTCAAATTTCAGTAAGTCTCAGTCTCTCCAAACTATTTGTCTATATACATACGTACATCATATACATATGTTTTATATATTTCTTAATGTATAGACATATATATTTTGTAATATCAGTTTCAGAAATTTCTCTCTTATCGCTTTACATCTCTTTCTTTTTATATGTATATCGTATACCATTAATGTAATTCAATTTGTATTTCATGCCCAAACATAGGCCAAAAAGGCTAAAATTTTACCGTTGTTTTCCATAATCTCTTCTCTTAATACGTTCATCAAAACATATTTTGACGTATAATGTTCTAATCCGGCAAGACTATATTATCCTATGTTCTAATAAGATGTATGAGTTACATCTTCCTATATATTTCTGTATAATGGATCAATTTCTTTTTTCTTTTTCTTTTTTTTTATTTTTTTTTTATTTTATTCATAAATAGGATTTTATACATGAATACTATGACTTGTCTAATTACATAATTAAATTTATAATCGGAATATAAAATTTAATGTATTCAACTGTACAAATCACCTGTTATAATTTTTTCTTGGAATCTAAATTTATCTTAAATTATTTGTGATGAACAGCAACGACGCGGATGAATCTGAGGAAAAGAAGCGCGATTGGAAGGATGAGAAGAATACAGAAGATGTAACTATGAAAGTTGAAAAAACAGAAGATGAAAAAACAGAAGACGGTGAAAAAAAAGTTGAGAAGTCTGCGGAAGACTCTCCGTCGAAAGAAGCGAAAGAAACATCTGATAAAACCGAGAAAGAGAACACCAAAGTAACTGGCAAGAAATCGGAAGCTAGACACGCTGAAAGTCGTTACTCCGAAGTTCCAATGAACCATATGTTTTGTCACATTTGCAATAAGCATATGTGGGACGGATTTGTATGTATAGAAATTAAAATTAATAAATCTGTTTCAACATGTTTATTTTATTTTAAGCGATAATTTATGTATTTTTTCACAGTCCTTCGAAAATCATTTACGCGGACGTGCGCATCAATTGATGATGGAGAAATTAGACGAGTCATATAAATTGAAGGTCGATCTGATGAGACATGAGTTGCGAGTTGCCGAAGAACAGCGTGAGCTTAGCTTGAATAACTCAAAACGGCGTGGCAAAAAAGTAAGAGTCGTATCTTAAAAAAGAGAAATATACATATACAGATTTGATAGCAATAATATTTATGTTTATAATCTTTTGATTGCAGGTTTCTGTAGATTTCAACGTGAGAGAATACTGTACGATGTGTGATCTGAACTTTTATGGAACCTTGTCTACGCATAGAAAGAGTGAGAAGCATCAACAACTGAAAACATTCTTACATCCTCGATGCTTCCCTTGCTTAAAGGAATTCCCATCTCGCATAGAATACGACGAACATTGTTTAACACCTGCTCATATGAAAAATGCCATTCAATGCGAGGAACAGACGAAAAAATAAAAGAAGGGTAATGGAAAAAAATAAAGAAAACATTAATTTAATTTTAACTTTACGAAAAAAAGTTTTAATTAAGAAACTATCTTTAGCAGAAAACTGGCAAAGGGAGAAGCCGAGGTTCGTACTGCGGAAGACGAGGAAAAAGATGTTTGCCAGAATGATGCAAAGAATGAAAAAGAAGAAGATTTAGGAGAGCAAGAATACATCATGGATATTATGGAAAATATGAATGAGAAAAAATTTAAAATACCATCTTACAAATATTGCCGTCAAAATCAAATCTTTATTGGTATGGATTATATGTATAAGATTGGAAAAGTTATAATTTTAATTTATGTAAAATGGAGAAAATATTTGCGTATCCTCTTTTTGTACATGTATATTATCTTTATATGAAATTATTCAGGTAAATCTATGGTCAAGGAAGTCCAAGGATTTTATTGCGAACGTTGTCGAAGATTCATGCTATTGGCTGAAGATATGAACGCTCATTTACGTAGCATTACTCACTATCGAAATTTTGTAGCAGAAGTAAAATCATTAACCTCTAATGCACCAGCTACAGAATCAAAAGAAACTGATCAAGCTGAGGTGAGCGATTGTGTCTCGCAAAAAGAATCATCGTGTTAAGAAAGATCGTTTTTAAAATTTACTTAAATCATATTATGTTCATAGACTGAGAAAAATAATGAAGTTAAAGAGGAATGCGATGTACACTGGAAACGTCGTAAGATCAGTCATGATGAAAATGAAGATAATGATAAACCGAAAGAGCAACAAGAAAATAGCGGCGATAACGCAAATGTAGCACCAAAGAGGTCAGATGGGGAGGAAAAGTATGATCCATTAGAAGCTGATGCCGCCGAATCAGAGGAGGAAGAAAATCGAGAGGCAGAGGAAGACACAAAAGAAATCACCGAGGAAAATACTGCTAATACACAAGATACAAAAACACCAGTTGATGAAATGTGGACAGATACAGATAATGATAACGATACCGAGATGGGTAATCTAATTGACGAGGCAGACGAAAAAAAACCTACAGATCATGAAAAATCCATGCCGAAGATAGAACGAAATCATAGTCCTCAGGTGAAATCACCTAGAGGTCGCGGATTTGTACGTGGTCGAGGTGGTCCGCGTGCTAGGAGATCTCGGCGATAAGGTAATACTGCAAAAATATGAAAGTAAATGCGAGAAAAAAGTATGTCTATTGTAAGGGAAACTTCAATGCGTGTTTCATATTCAGATAAGTTTTAATGATAACGAATAAAGCACGTTTTTATCATTGAAACACCATTGAAATATTAATAATATTAATATCACATGCCACGTTAGCATTAATATTACATGTGAACTTGATAGTATAACTTCTTAATTGTAAACAATCGATTTCACTAGTTGCACTAAAAGAAAGTATGTGTGTGAGATTAAAGATTTTTGTATAAATAGTAAATTTTTAGTCAGGCATAACATTTTTTTTCTGTACTTTGAATTATTGCTAATGATATATATATAAATGAAAATTATCGGATATTGCTTGTAATTGCAAATTAAGCAAAATTTTTTGCGTATACGATATCAAGAAACAAAAAAATGTTTTTTTAAATATTTGAATAATGGTGTCTCGACATTGAAATTGAAGTATATATTTAGGATTCTTGATTAGTCGCCGCGACCACATTATAATCGTGACATCATAAGCTAGAAATGATACAAAGAAATTTATTATATGTTATTTGCAAATAGATATTTGAATAAAACAGCACTTGAGATGCCTTTAAGACATTTCTGAAAATGGACGGCTTACTTCTTTTTCCTCCTGAGTCATTAAATAATAGCCATAAGAGGTATGTAAAATGAAGCCAGACAGAAGAAAAACACATGGTTTGATAGCTCTTGAAAGAAATGAAAAATACTTTTATGTATGAAATTCAAAGATAGTTTTAGTTGCCAAGCATTTTTACATATTTAATAAGTATGAAATAGCACATCTGCAGATTAAGCATATAATAACAAAATAATATACAATATAAAATTTCTTTAGCACGTTACTTTTCACATCTGCTAATTCATCCTTTCATTGAGAATAAGAAGCTGCAATAGAATTCCTGCCGCTCACTTCTGTTTCCGTCTATTTTTCACAAGTGTTTTAAAACGTTATTTTATCTCTATTTGTAAATGACAAGAAATCTCAATGTCTTTTCTCGCTTACGGTGATTTAATATGACCGCGATGATTGATTAGGAAGATTAATATGATGATATACGTAATAATTAAACTATTATATAATATTAAGGTTCTTGTTAATTCACTGCAATTATCTTGAATTATAATGTCAGATGCGAAAAAATACACGATGGAAATTCTTGTAAAATAAATTGAAATAGAACCATTTTTCAATAAAATGTTTGTAATCGATAAAACAAATTTATAAAATATGCCAGAAACTCTCCTTTTATATAATAAATAACCATTTTAGAGAATGGAGTTATTATTTAGAATGGAGCCTGTAGCTCTGTTCTTGATTAGGCACAAATATGTCTAGATATATAGTTCTTCATTGATTGAAGCAAAAGAAGACTTCAGTATGCTAGTTTTATCAATTGACATTTTATCATAAAATATTTTTATCTTAATGTATCTTGCTATCAAAACAAAATTTTTATTATATGTTTTCTCACTTCTAACATTATCAATCTAGATATTTGCAATCAATAATTAGAACCTTCAAATTTAGATAATTGTCATCTTGTTCTCAACATAGCCATATAGAAAAATATTCTTACAATATCACTATAATTCATAAAAAATAAAAATTTACAATATTATATTCTTTAAAAAATATAAACGAATTCTCTATTCCTTAATATTCATATTTTTATGAGATCACTGGATTAATATTAACTCTATTTAGGTACTGAAAAGTGGTGACGTTATAAATTTCCACTTTTGTATTTTACTTTACTATAACCGTATGCGTGAATGTTGCGATCATTTTCATAATAAAAGAGATAGTGTTTTTCTATGTACAAAAAGATAAGTTATCTGCATGCTCTTATTATTATTAAGAGTACATCATTCTGAGGACAGAAAGATCTTTTTGTATCTATTTTAAAAATATACTATAGAAAAGTTTTTGGAAAAATTGAAACATAATATGATGTATCAAGATTAGATAAAGGATATATATGATGGTGATAACTAAAAATGTCAAATAAGACATGAATATAATATGTGACATTTGAAGATAAAATATAATCATATAACCATATATATGTATGTATATGTAATATTCATATTAAATGGATAGTTTATTAAGAATAGAAACAATTATGTAATACAATTTGTATATTTCCTAATTTTATTAATCCTTAGAAAGATGAGTTGACAGAAATTCATCTACAGAATCTGTATCCCATTTATGTATATCAAGTACATCTTCAACTCTATTTTCAGCATCATATAGCTTAATTATTGGATCTAACCCTCTTACGTACTTTATGCTAAGATTTTTATACTTTTTTGGTCGATCGCTTTTGATGAAAGCTGAAAGAAATATATTAAGCATGAATTTGTTT